ATCTTTCTTCTATCATTGACAGTCCCTCTAGGTTGTGGGCTGCTTGCCTGTGTTCCTGAGAAGCATCTACGGTACCAGTCTATAGAGTGTGTTTTCTTTAGTGAATTACCGGTATGTTTACCGGTAATAAACTGGCACTGTTTTATGTATATGTTTGATTACATACAGCCTTGTGACAGTTTTCCTGCATGTCATAAGCATTTGAATATAAATTAAAATGTTAAAATCAAATCTGATATTGTTTTACCTTTTATTTGGTGTGTGGAAGGTGTGCGGAAGAGGGGGTAGTCTTATACGGCGAGTATATAACAAACTCTGTATTTTGAGTGGAAATGTTAGGGGGTCGTCTTATACGCCCAGTCGTCTTATACGCCGGCAAATACGGTAATCCACTATTAACAAAATTATTTCAAACTAAAGGAGTTACGTAACTTAACATGGAGATTTCTTAGCCCATTTTCACTTTGCACCTAGCATCCAGGAAAGAAATTTAACTTCAATGACCCTAAACAGAGGCAATGCCAACATTATCTCTCTTTGACACCCAATCCCACAGTCTCAGAATGGTACCAGTTTGACAAGGACCAGGTTCAGTCTAGAAATACAAATTTTTATGAAAGAGTGGGGCAAGGGATGTAGTGAATCCTAAAAAACTACAGCAATATTGAAAACGATTGATAGGAGTCAAATGACAGAATTATACAATAGAGAGCCATTCTACAACCAGGTAGACCCATTGGACTGCCCAGGTGAGGTCCTCTTACTGTAGTTGGCTCAAAACCCAGTAGTACCCAAGGTTGTAGGTGCAAGAAGCCATATGTCAATAATGACTGACAAAATATTTATTGCATATCAGTTCACACATACTATTTTGGAATCTTACTTTCATCATCTGCAATATAAAAACAAATATAATCTTCTTCACAAAGGCATTTTGATGAGTACTTTAAGACTATGTTATACATTTTGAGACAATTGGTAATTTGGACATGGACTATACATTAAATTATATTACTGAGTAATAATTTTCTGAGACGCAAGGATAGCGCTGTGGTTATATAGGAGACTATCCTGTTCATAAGAGATGCACACAAATTTTTGTGGGTAAAGTCTTACAATGTCTGAAACTTACTTTCAAACAGTCCACCAAAAACACACACACACATGCACACACATACAGTGACAAAAACTGAGAAGCAGCTTGAGTGACACTCCAATTCCATAAAAGTCTGAGGAGTTGGTGTCCCTAGTACTTGCAGTAGCAGGGGCATAGGGAGGGGCACCTAAAATCAGAAGGATTGGCTGCAGGTCTGTGCAACT